TATGTAGAGATACTGCTTGCAAATCAATGATGTAAGATGATGTCATGGGGTAGGACTGGATAAGTCTGACTTCTTCCTACTCCATTCAAGCATGTACTAGGTATAAGCAAATTGATATTGGATTAGCATTTGTTGGATATGTGTAAAATTATGTGTGTTGACATATCAACTGTCTTTACATGCTTGAAAAAATAAATCAAATCAAATCAATCAAATCAAAACAGTACCCTCATGATTTTTTGTTACATTTAATTGCATGTCTTTAACACAAGGTTATGCAAAGCATGGGGGTAAATGAGACAACATAAAATATGAAAAGTGGCAATAGAATATAGAGTTTATTTTTACACTACCAGGTTGATTCAGGGGCAAATAAATGAATAAAAGAGTAGCTACTCAAAATGAGTAGGTTTTGTTTAATCTTCAGATCGACAAATGGCCAGCAGCACCTGTAGATAATCTCCTTTAAAATGTTTCTGTTGGAAAAATAGAGAATATTTAATGTAAAATATGTAAAAATGTCTGCATTAAAAAAAAAAAGAAAACAGTGTGTGTTGTGTGACTCACCTGTAGCTCAGTGTAGAGAGAAGTGCCTGTTAATTTAAGGAAGGCAGCTCGGATACACAACAGGTCTTCCTCAGAGTGAGACACCATAATTCCTTGCACTATCGGTGTCTGCAGGAGTGAAATGTTTATGTTGGAATTGTTATGTTTTTAACCATTCACACACTAGCAGATTTCCTGCTTGAATAAAATGTCCATTCTGTGAAATACAAGTTTGCCTTCAATTGAACTACAGGTTTAATCACTCATATTTGCATATTTAGATACAAGAAATGCACTTTTCTATGGTCATATAATAAGAATAAATTTATGGGGTCTGTCTTTCAAATACTGATGACATCCGTGTGGTTGCCTGAGTACTGAGTACTGTATGTTGAATTGAAGCATACTGTAGGTATAGACGACTTCTTAACCCTGTAGAGCTCAAATATGAGGCTCTGCTCATGATCATATAGTCGAGTTAGCCAGAAGCAAAAGGAATGACAAACTAGTTCCTATATTTATATGGCTACATCTATAAACAGGACAAACAGCACTTTCCCTAAACTATATGAGATATATTAGGCATATTAAAACTTCTGTCATGAAAACAATGCCTGCAATAATGAAACTAAATAAATAAATGGATGAATAATGAATGACAATCAACTAATTCAATTCATCACTTGCATAAAGGCTTGTTGAATGTGCTGTAACTTAGGAATCAATCAGCGGTTTAGTGATTACAGTGTCTTACCTTCATGGTACTTAGTCTTTTGGCAAGGTAGACATCAGGGCTTTGAATGCACTGCACTGTCAAATCACAGATATCAAGAAACACCCATTACTGATCATCAGGCACAGTGCATATAAACCAATCATGCAGTGGTGGTTGGCTCAAATTATAGTTACCTAAAATTTTTAAACCCATCCGAATGTCTCCTGTGAACCGTTTCTCCACAGTCTGATCCACCGTCTGTCCGGTCTCCAGCTCCAGTCCCATAAACACTGTCAGTAATATACACAGTCAAGGCGATGAACATTCACATTTAAAAATACTCAAGAAACAAAAATATATTACACCCTTACCTTTGCTAAGGTGGTCTGAGCTTCTAGAGGTCAATATGTTAATCCACGGTCCTGCATCAGCTTTGCTCCCATTTAGTGATGCAGAGAGAAACTAGAAGAATAAAAACCAAAAAACACAATCAGACAGGGGTGTAATCTAGAAGGGAATAAATGAGTAATAAATAACAACAACAACAAAAAAATTAAATTTCTAGCTATTTTCATATGTCATTACTTATTAATACACAGAAGTAAGTAGATCAACTGCACGTTTCTAATTGCAACAAAGGTGCTTTATTGTATAAAAAGCATTTGTGTAAAAAACATGATAGGAAAAAAAACCTCAATATCTCTTTGAACCACGCCAGCAACATTTTCTTTCTGTTGGGAGAGTCAAGTGAAAATACGTTTTAATTGCAACTTCAAGGTCATATCTAAATGTAATTATCCCATACAAAGCATAAGTGATTGATAGTGTGCACTGTACCAGATAGGGTGTCACTACTATTTTATATCCATGATAAATGGTTTTAATAATATTGAAGGTAGAGGATCAGTGCCCACTATTGTACCTCCACATGTCCTCAACAGTACTGAGGCCAGTTGGTTTACTAACGGGGTTAAAGATAATGGAAAAGGAAATAAATGCTCAAGTTACATTTAGCAAAGCTACAACAAGTTTAGCAAAGTCTCCACTGGTTTCTCCTTTTAGTTCCTTCTCCAGGTCCTTCTTGTACACTGAAAAAGGGGACAAACCAAAGGAGATTGGTTTACAAGATACAGGAGATTATGGATGTACAGTATATCCACAACAAACATTTGGACAAAGACTAGAAAATTAATCTGACCTACATTGTTTATATGTAGCACTGATTTCTTGAAGCTGACTCCCAGATCTTGTGCATAGGATCTCCATTAGTGTTTCTTCATCTGTGCCTAAACGCTGCCCACACACAAAGACACAAACCTTAGACGGTAAATGTCCTGGGATGTGACAGACAGGTGAGGTAAAATTCCTGCCTCTCCACATCAGATTCACACACAAACACCCCACTCACTGCCGTAGCCTGATGTAGGCGATGAGCTTCATACTCCAGAGGAGGCATCAGCAGCTCCAGCAGTAGAACTCCCAAATTTCCAGTTGTGGCTTTCTTCACACTAGTTGTCAAGTCCTGGGACACCACAGAGTAAGATATCCTCACATATCTTACACATTGTTAATACTCAATACACCAGATCAAACCCAGAAAATGGATTATAGCAGTTTTATTTTGTAGTGTGAAAGGAAAAAACCAACCCCCAAATATACTTAACATGCTACATATTTATTTGTAGCCATGTCAGAGGAAAACTTCTTTTTGTCTATAAAGTCCAAACCTCTTTTACATGGAATTACCTCTCAAACAAAGGAGTCAGTCACTTTTGCAGCATTAGTGGACAACTGTTAAAAAGTTGTCACGTGATGGCATCGTCAATTTAAATCTTGTTGCTCTAGAAGCCAAAGCTGAAAGCCGACAACTTTACAGTTTTCTTTTCTGTGCACGTCCCCTTTAAGACACTTTGATATGAGGTAATTGTGCAACTAAAAAGAGACTCTGGGCTGTGTAAACACAAAGTGACTGAGTGAACATACGTGTCTTCCAGACGTTATCACCTTCATGTGGGAATGAGACTACTTTTATTACAAGGGGAAGAAAAGTACTGACTGCCAAGATTAGAGTTACTGCAGTGAAGTAGTTAATGTTCTGATGGCGTTTATGTAGAACACTTGCATAATGACTCATTGTTACATTAAGTTTATACTGCTTAACTCCACCTCTAAACAAAGGTGTGTTCAAACCATTTAAGACCAGCTTCAATAATGTTTAATCAGCAAATATTTAGAAGTTACAGGTTAGCAAACAGACACAGTTGCACTATACAGTGCTACCATTTTGTGGCTGCTCAGGCCTTACACCTTGAGAATGTTTCATCATGTAAATCGAGTAAGAAATGCTGCGGCTTTGTTCCCGTTCTCACCTTATGGGTTATGTCTTCAAAGGTCTTGGCGATCACTTGCCTCTGGGCATTGTTCCGATTGGTCAGGATTCTTACCAGGTTGACAGTATCTGAGCCAGGTAAACAGTGTTAGGATTTCAACTGTTAAACAACAGTGAGCAATGTTAAGAGACAAAGAAGTAGGGCTGTAGCTTTATAAAACACTGCCATCAACAACAGCACTCTGGCTTTCCAAGTACCTTTTTTCTCCAGTGCTGCTTGAAGCTCAATAAAATCCCGGTCAGGGCGGAAATTGGAGAAGGGCCGCACTGTTCCAAGGGTACCCCAACACATCTCCTATAAGGGGAGACAGACGGAGAGACAAAGCAACAAATTCTGCAAAGACTGAAGAGAGAATCTAACAAAATATGATAAGTGAGTGGCAGGAAACAAGTGGAATGAGCAACAAGGGAAGAAGCAGCATGATAACGGCCATGGATGCACTGACAGAAGATGAGCATAGAGACAAGCCAGGTTTTATCATCCTTGAATTTCAGTTCATACTGCTGCTGTGATAACTGAAGAGATGTTGGAACGCAAGTTTTCTTGATATTAAAATCTAAATGCACACACAAGTTAACAACAGGGACTTTTGTAGATAAGGCTAGAAGGTATGCAGATATTGCGAGAGCACAAGATTATACTATCTACAAATGTGGCGTCATAGTACAGACTGTCATAATGTGATGGCAGAGGAAAGGGAAGACAGGGCAGAATAGTTCTACTTACACAGGAGTTGAAATACTCATAGTCCATTGTTTTGTCTTGCCTGCAAGAAAGAACTGAGCAGACAGAGGTAAATAGTTCATCCACATAAAGAAAGGTACAATAAGTGACAGAAATGTCTTAATGTCAGTTTATTTATGAAACCAGCAGTAATCTCTATAAGAGACCAAAAGCTAAAACAAACACCTGCCAGGTGTTTGTTTTAGCTTTTTGGTAGTACAGCCTTTTTTTTTTTACTTCAAGAAAGGTTGTTTTACTTACCTCCAGCAGAATGCTGTGATAGCTCTAGGAAGGACTAGAAGTAGTGGAGTGTTTTTTTTTTTTTTTACAATGTCCTCTAGTTTTTCATGTTTACTATGCCACACCTGTTTCCTGTACAACCACCTTGCTGTCTATCAAACATCTGACCAATCAGTGCTCACTATCTTCACATCCCATGACTGACACTATTGGTCTGTACAACTCCCAGGGCAGCCCAACTGTGAAATATTGCTATTCCTGGCAAAGGAGGAATCTAGAAAGTTAGGTTTATTTAAGTCTGTGAAATGACCACAGCTATATGGGTTTTGGGCTAAAATAAATTAAGGAAGTCGTGTATTAGGTTACATAATGCATCAGCTTCATTGAAGAATGCATAGTGTTCAAGTCTTTAAAAACAGATGTTTGTAAATTTTACAATTTTTCCACCAAGAACAAACAGATATCTGATAAACAAACTAACCAGGCAACATCTCTGTAAAAAAAAAAGTGAGGGAAATTCTGGTTTACGGGTAAACTAGACTGCGGTAGTCATGTATAATCTGATGCTCCTTTGGCTCCAAAACTAAACTGTGTCACCCAGACTAGCTAACAAAAGAGCTTTTCAGCGCCTGCATTTGAGGCCGACAGTGATAATGATCTGCTACTCCCAAACCTTTATCCGCCCTTTCCTCTCAGTAAAAAAAGATGGACAGAGGAGAGCGAGAAGGCACACAACTACAAAAAAAAATCCAGCAGTACCTTTGTTCATACAGCATTATGAAACCACTGAATACATGTATTCCTCTGTAGCATTAGTCTGTCCAGTCCTCTGTGCTGCTCATCTCCTACTTATTGTTCACCTGCAGAGCAGAAAGAAATATGGAGCCTGTTGCCATTACAAGCAAAGCTGATATACATCAAGCACCGTTTGTTTTAGAGGCATTCATCTAAGATCTATT